TATCTGTACAGCCAACCTTAACCTCGAAAGCATGTAATATATTCTTTTATTCAGCAGAGATCCTATTGTAATGCAAACACTCTGTACAAAGAAGACAATCAAACTTTATGCTAGATTGAAGCCAAGCTTACAATTGAACTTACTCAAAAGAGAATTCGAAACTGGAGTACTTAATTATCAACATGAAGCCGAGCTACACAGCCATTTAACCAGAACGTCCTCGACTGATAAACAAAATGGTCGGTATTAATTAAAGCTGTTATCTCGTGATACTCTTCGAAGAGGCGAGTTGTTGTCTAAAATCAATTTCCTGAGTATAAACATCGTAACTGCTAACTTAAAATGATCTAAAATTGAAACATTTTCGAGACCTACCGCTTGATCGAAACTAGATCTCCAGTAGAAAATACAACAGTTCCAACAGTTCCAGTGTTCGGTGGAAGCAGCGAGGAGAGCTATTAAAACTATCTTGATACTCTTTATAGGTGCGAATTGCTGTCTAGAATCAATTTCCTGCGTAACATCGTAACTGCAAACTTGAATTGAAACATTTTCGAGATCTACCTTGATGAAACTAGATCTTTAGTAGCGAGTACAGCTTCGAGAAGCCTCGAGGTATTATTCTTGGAAGCAGCAAGCAGAGCTGAGATGGGCGTTTCACAGACAAGATCGAGAATAGTGGACTGGCACTGGAGAGCCGGAATCTCCAAATGGAGAAAACGTTATAACTTGGAATATTGTGGTTGGAAATTTCTTTTCGCGAAATTATCTTCTGACTCAAAAATAGGTATTTGTACTAAACCGCATTTCATTGTGTCAAAAAGAGCGTCTAGCCTCTATGTTTTCATGGAAAATTATTCCATRAAAAATACTATTATTTTTCCTTGGTCAAGCCACCGCACAATTGGAACAAGATAACCTTAAGAGGTTTTTGGCGATATTTTTTCTCTGGTTGTAGTAATCCTTTTTTCGTAAGGTTTTTATAAGGTAAAGTTACTTATTGGAGTCCAGTCCCCAGGATAATAGTTTTGGTCGTTAGTTATTATAGGATATTATTAGTGATTATAAGTAATGCATCGCCTTTGTTGTAAATAGCTTTAAATGGCTTATTAACGCTTTTTCGCTAATAGAATTTATTTATTCATAGGCAACAGAGTTAATAAAATGTATTACATCAATGCAATCAGTTTTCATGATAATGTGCTGTGCGTTAATAAATGTTTAAAAGCTGATAAACTCGACAAAATATATGCATAGAATATAAACCGAAACTGAAATCAGGAATTGAATAATGTTCGTATTTAATTTAGCATATAAAAAGACAGAATATGACCAATTGTTGACCACTAGCAAATTTTAGTTATTTCATGTGAATGGAATCACCATAAGCGTGAAACAATTCTTATTATAAAACTTATTAATAATGCATAAGCTATTGCTCCAATAAGGGCTGACCATTTA